TTTCGCGACCAGAGTTCTCAAACAGGGAAAAGCTCGCGCTCGCGTTGAGGTAAATTCTTATGAGAACCATTCTGTTCTTCCAGAACAGAAGCGTGTTCATGACGCATTACCGAGCGGGCTTCGCGCGCGCATGTCGAAGTCGTTCGAACGCCTTTGCGCAGGGGATGTCGCAGTGATCCCTTGGAACAGGTGCGACGAAGTGCACGCGCGCGCGTCGTCGCGCGCGCGCGTGCCCGAATCCTAAACAAAAGTCAAACGTTTCGTGCAGATGTCAAAACCGAGTGTCCTGAAGCCATTACAAACATATGGTTTCGCAAAAACAGGTTTCAAAACAAGGCCTGCGCGGGCGACCGCGCGAATCCTGCAGGAAGCCATAGTTTTCGAATGTGTTCATGGAGTTCTTCCAAACGGACCTCCCGCGCCGCACGCCGAGATCATCCGAGCACCGTTGCGCGCTTGGGGCGGGGGGGGGGCGGCCCGACTCGCATTCAAGAAACACCGTGCGGGCCGCTCTCGCGCGTCGGCCTCGCGCACGTCGAACTCCTTCCAAAACCTGTCTTACTGACGCGAGGGCGCCCTCAGCGTCGTCGGCGCGCTCGGCATCGGCGCCATCGCTGGCCGTGCCGTTGTCGTTCTCAACGCCGACACCAGCATCGCTACTGTCATAGCCGCGTCTACCGTTGCCGACGTTGCCGCGATGCCGCGCCTGCCCAAATCGCCGGCTCGCATTGAGGTGCCCGCTGAGATGTGCCCAGCGGTCAGCGCCCACGCGGCCGCGTCGGTCGCGCCAGACAAGCTGCGCGCGCGTGCGTGCGAGGGCCAGCGCGGCCGCGTAGATTCACCAGTCAACGCCAAGTACTCATCGCAATCGCCTCCGAATGGGTTCTGCGAACCAAGTTGCGGTTGGGTGGGGTTATTGCGCGGCCAGTGGGGCTGACAACTTCAAATTGAGCACTGGATGGCGTCACATAGAGACTCCTTGCTTTAAGAGCATACGAATATACCCCCCCCCCCCCCCCACCCACCACCACACACGCACGCACGCACGCGCACACACACACACGCACACACACACACACGCACACACACGCACACACACACACACACACACGCCCCACCCCCCACACACGCGCGCCCATAATCAACGCTGCCTTTTTCGTGCTGCCATTTGCACGTGGTTCTGCCTCATCGCCCATGCTAAATATGAACCCATGACTTTCCAGGCAGGCCCCGTCGCTGGCACCCCAATTCCGTCCTCTGCCAGAAAAAGGTTGCACGCGCATTCGTAAAAATCACCAGTTTCCAAAAGCCCTTTGCGAATATGGAAAAAACATTAAAACCAACGGGGCGAAGTGCGAGCGCCCGTCGTCGCGCGCGCATGGGAACATCTTTCGACAACCTTTAGTCCCCCGGAGATTTCAAAGTCTCGCGCCCCGAAAACATGCGAAACAACACGGCGTCGCAACGAGGGCCCCCAAACGCGCCAAACACATGCGCCCGCGCCCGTGCGAAACCTTAAGGAAACCATGCGTTGTTTCGCCAGCTTCGTAACATGCTACCAAGCAGGCCTATCGCGCGCGCGCGTTCAAATCGCTCGAACGCCCTGACGCGCGCGCTGTCGCAAAGCATCCATGCGCTTAACTTAGACGAAGTGCAGGCGCGCGCTTCGTCGCGCGCGCGCCGATGTCCATCAACAACCCAAGGTTCCGTTCGGAGTTCAAAACACAGTTTCCCTAGAACATACAAACAGCACATGGTGTTGCAACGCAGTTTCTCTTTTAAAAAAGTGCGCGCCTGCGCTTTGCCCTTGCGCGCGTGCTCGAGGGGGGGGGGGGGGGGGGGGGGGGGGGCGCGATCCGTATCAAATACCAACATGCGGGCTACTCGCGCGTCGGCCGCGCGCGCATGCCGAACTTCTTCCAGCACCTTCATCACCGACGCGAGGGCGCCGTCATCGCCGTCGGCGTGGTCAGCATCGGCGTTGTCAATGGCCTAGCCGTCGTCATTGCTATTATCGCCGCCAGCATCACTTCTATCATCCTCGTGCCTACGGTTCTCGACGTTGCCATGATACCGCGCCCGCCCGCGTTGCCGATTCGAACTGAAGTGCCCGCTGGGAAGTGCCCAGCGGTCAGCGCCACCGCGGCCGCGTCGGTCGCTCCAAACTAGCTGGCCGCTGCGCGCGCAAGCATGCGCGGGCTACCGCGGCCGCAACGGTTCGCTAGCCAACACCAGACACTCATCGCAATCACCGTCGCATGGTTTTGCAAACCAAGTTGCGGGTGGGTGGGTGGGATGATTGCGCCAGAAGTGGAATATACAATTCATTGCGAACAGAGGTTCAGTGCACCACATACATTGCACAACGCGGGTTAGCAAAACATCGGTTGCACATCGTAGATTCACCACATAGACAGCACAACACACATCGCACTACATAGATGGTGTCGCATAGATTGCACCACGTAGGCTGTCCAACATCGATTGCATCACGCAGATAGCTAAACAATGGCTAAAATTGTTGTCTTTTGCGGAATGGGGAGGAGTGGCCAGAGCGGAAAAAGGGGGTCCGACGGGGGACCCGGAGAAGGAGGGGAGAAATCATGAAGAAACGAAAGGAGACGGAAGAGAAAGGAGGGACGCGGAGGGAATATCATGTGTCCTTGCCATTACCACCATGAAGAACACGTCAAGCAGCAATATGCGAACCTGACTAGCCGATACAACTTACAGGAGTTTCCACCTACGTATTGTCCTGCAGCCGACTTTCCTGTCAAGCTCTGCGTATGAGTTTGGGCGAGACTTGAGCGATGAACTGGCCAGGCAGTTGGTGAAGCGTGCTTGTTTTGGTATACTGAAGCAGTCGTACACATGCAGACACGAAACGGCGCCGATCGGCGCGGGTACAGCGGTGCAGGCTAGCGCTAACAAAGGGAGGGGCAATTGAGAGGAAGCAGAGGAGACTGGTGGACGAACTGGCCGAACGGCGGAAGGAGGGCGAGACTACGAGGGGGGGGAGTCACCGGAGGGGGGCAAAGCGGTATCACCTCGGGGCAGGAGCATCAAAGGGCTCCCAGTTCGTAGCGACGAATCTCTCGTGCTCTCTCGGGGTGAGGGCTGCCGCAGCGATACCAAACACGAAGTTGCACATGCCATCGGCGTCGGCATTGAACTTTCTGTTAGCTAATACGCTGGAACTCGACAGTAGCCACCCTGGGCGTGGATCGCAGACGCCTCAGAATTCCAAGCGCTGCAAACAGTGGCCGCAGATCGGGGGACAAGCATTTCCATGCCAGGGTAAGCTGCAGGGCAACCACCAGGGAGGAAACGTGGAATCGTAACCAGGAGGTCGGTTATTCAAGGCGTGCCTGAGCGACATCATAAACCCCCCATATTCTGAAGCGTTGCTTGTGGCGTCGCCCAGAAATATCTAACAGCCCTCGGGACCTCCTGGGTGCCTTCGCGATACCTGACGCAACTGCATGACGATTGCCGTGAGACGGTTGCACCTTGATTGCGCGCTCCGCCATCATATGATTACACTTTGCAAGCTGCTGGACAAACACACAGAAATGCTACAGAACGGCAAACCTGCGCCCCATCGGTCGGCAACTCTTGGAGCGAGAGCTGCGCAGATGTCAGCGATGCGTGCTGGAGCGAAAGGTTTGTCCGGACAGCGTGCAGAGTTGGACATGCAGTTCTATGCTCCACTGGATCGCTCGCGGACGGATTGCTGCAAGACAGGCGCGGGACAAACGCCTCATCATCGTAGCCTGCGCTCGCCAAGAGCAGTCGATGGCATCGCTCGTGAACTCGCTCCCGCGAGCTTCCGCTGAAGGCCGCGCACACGAAGCTGGGCAACGACGAGTCCTTACCCGCGCCGTCAGCCGCTCAGCAAAACAGCGCCGCTGGTAAAGCAGCCGGTAAACCACTATCTTATCAGATGTGCGCCGGGAACATTCCCGCAGCGTCTCGGTTACCGCGTCGCCAGTGACTGCGTGGACAGCATGATTCATGATGAGTTTGAGCTCAAAACGACAGCGGTCGGAGGCCTTGGGGCTGGTCGACTCCAGCCACGCTCGTTTCCCATGCGGACAGTTGTCTCGTATCGACACCCCACGACCTCTCAAGCCGCATTGCTGCCGCCAGCAACCTTGCGATATTGGTCAGGATTGGATCACGCGCTTCCAGAAAGGTGTGGAATTGAAATATGGCGTGACAGAAAGCCTGGACGGGGCTCTATCGAACCCATTCCAAGAATGTCATGGCCATTTCCCGAATTGCAAAGAGAGAGAGAGAGAGAGAGAGAGAGAGAGAGAGAGAGAGAGAGAGAAAGAGTGGATACATTCATCAGGGCAAGCGTGGAAGTATACTACATGCATGGATATACGCGACATTATTAGCTGCGCAAGCACAGTCCATGCAAGCAATTACACGTCATGGCTGGCACGGGCAGGGAGGAGGAGGGAGGAGAACGAGGACGAAGAAGGAAGGAGGAGGAAGGAGGAGGAAGGAGAAGGGAGGACTGAGGAGACGGGGGAGGAGCGAAGGTTTCCAGGTCATTCCGGAGGAGGAGGAGGAGGAGGAGGAGGAGGAGGATCATGTGTTTCCGGCGGGGGGGGAGGGAGCCTGTCCTGCGCAGACCTTGCCCCTGCCCCGGGGGGGCCCTGCGGAGCTCGCTCGCTCCGAGCAGCTGCCGGTGGAAGGGGGCTGCTGGCCGCGCGGGGCCCCCTCCGTGGCGCGATGGCGCTCGACGGCGAGGGCGGCGCCGCCGAGAGCTGCGGGCGCCTTGCGGCCGGCGCAGAGGCCAGCCCGGGCGTCGGGGAGGCCAAGCCCGAGGCCCCGCCGGCGCCGGCAGAGAATCTCGAGCCGAGCATGCAGGCCAGGCCCCCTCGAGTCATGAAAAAATCACGACGGGAGGTTTTTTGCCATTTTCGGCTTCTGGGGGCCCCTACCGAGCCTCGGGGCTGTCAAAAAACGACTCAGGATGAAAAACCGGTCTCGGGGAATGGGTCCAAACCGCTGGGGGTCGACGTCATGAAAAAATCATGACGTCGGGGGTCTGGGAGGCCAGGGGCAACGTCAGGGAGGGAGGGGCTCAGGGGCGACGAAGCGGCCCCCCAATCGCCCATGCATCGCCGCTGGGGGCCCGACAGCCCCACCTCGCTCAGGGCGGTGCGGGCTCGCTGTCGGGGGCATACCGCCGAGGGATCGGCGAGGCATCGCCGATTCCAGGTCGATGCTTCCCCCCTGAGCTAATCCGCCCTCATCGTTCCCCCTCAAGAGGAGGTCGGGCCCGAGGCCAAGCCAGAGTCCACGCCGCTGGCGGAGGCCGAGGAGGCCAAGCCCGGCGTCGAGACGGCCGGGCCCGAGGGCGGAGCGCCAGCCGTGGCGACGGCGCCGGTGCCCGGGAGTCGCACAACCACTGCGGCAGCGGCACGGGTTGCGCGAGATCTCGGGGATTGAGACCCAGACATGCTCGCGTCGTGAACAACGAAGACACGACGGGAGATTGATGGGCCGTTTCCGGCCTCCTGGGGCCTTCGCTGGGCCCCTGGAGCGTCAAACCAGGTCGGTTCGGGGTGAGAGGCCAGTCCCAGGGAAGGGTCGAGGCCTCCGGGGGTCCGCGCTGCGAAACAAGGCACGACGTCGGGGGTTTGGTGAGGTGGGGTTCGGTGGGATCGGGCCCCGGATGTTGCTAGCCAGGACTCAGCGTCCCGGCTCGCCTATAGGCCCACTAAAGAATGTTCTAAGAACCTTTTGTGGTTTGCACGAAATGTTCTTAGAACAGTTCTGGCTGAGTCTGTCTTGTTTTAATACCTCGGGTGCATGCTGTAAGAACATGGTTTGGGCTCTCGGAACATTATTGGGTTGTAAGATCACGTCGTGGTAGGCGTATAGGAATGCCGGGACGGTCGATCCCTGCTCAAAGGATGGAGAGGAGCCTCCAGGTTGAATCTGCATTCTTCGGAGCCCTTTTCGCCCCAGGGCCTCACGTCGCAATCCCCTCCTCTGGAGTCTGGAGAGGGCCTCGCTGCCCCACCCCCTGCCCACCCGCGCGCATGGAACATCCAGCTGCGCTGCCGCGCATCTCTGCGCCGTGTTGGGGGCTGGACGGGAGGACAGGGAGGAGGGGGAGGAGGAGGGGGAGGAGGAGGAGGAGGACCAGGACGAGGAGGAGGAGGAGGAGGACGACGAGGAGGAGGAGGAGGAGGAGGAGGAGGAGGACCAGGACGAGGAGGAGGAGGAGGAGGAGGAGGACGAGGAGGAGGAGGAGGAGGGAGGAGGAGGAGGAGGAGGAGGAGGAGGAGGAGGGAGGAGGAGGAGGAGGAGGAGGAGGAGGAGGAGGAGGAGGAGGAGGAGGAGGAGGAGGGAGGAGGGAGGAGGAGGAGGAGGAGGAGGAGGAGGAGGAGGAGGAGGAGGAGGAGGAGGAGGAGGAGGGAGGAGGAGAGGAGGAGGAGGAGGAGGAGGAGGAAGGAGGAGGAGGAGGAGGAGAGGAGGAGGAGGAGGAGGAGGAGGAGGAGGAGGAGGAGGAGGAGGAGGAGGCGAAAGCGGAGGCGGAGCACAACAACGGCCAAAGACGCCATAGATGACCTTGAGGAGGCCGGGGGAGATGGGGGAGCAGGGGGTCTCTCGACGGCCGTCGCAGAGAGCGTCGATCCGCGGGACAGGGGCGCAGTCCCCGGAAGCGACTCGGCTGGCAACTTCGCGATGGCAGCAGCGCGGCTCTGCAGGGCTGCTGCTGCAGCCCACGCCGCGCTGAAGACTTCGAGCGCTGGCCTCGGCCGGGGATTGGACCCGGTGTCCGGGGATGGAGCCCCTTGACCAGTGGGTTGGCGAGGGGCAGGCCGCGCGAGAGGCTGGCCCGACCGGCCGCCCCCGCCCCCCCCCCCCGCGAGCCTCCTCCACTGATTCCCCCCTCCCCCCTCCCTCCCTCCCCCCCCTGCCTCCCTCTCCTTCCTCTCCCCATCCCTTCCCTGCCCCCCCCCCCCTCTCCCTCCCCCCCCTCCTCCATCCCTCCCCTTCCCTCCCCAGTGCTGTGATGTGAAGCTTGGCGCCCCGGCAGGAATTGTTAGGCTCACTAGTGTTCTGCGAGTTGCGTGCCAGCCTCTGCTGGCAGACTCCCACCTTCATCGGCGTCGCAATCCTTCCCTACGCGAGGACTTATACCCATGACCACCCGTAGGGGGATCGATCTTCGGGGACTTCGGCACGCGGTGGATCTGGTCATGTTCAGACACTTCGGGGGCTCAGCATCTACGTACTTTTTGCGTCGGCGGCTAGGCAGAGCAATTGCGCTGGCGGAGCGCTAACTAAACTGGGGGACCGTTGTAGCGAATTGCCACAATTCCAGGGTAAGGGGAAAGGACGGAAGAACCGGCCAAAGGAGGGGGGGGAGGGGACCGAGGCTGCTCAGGGGGACGGGTCATGCCCGGAGCGCGTGGAGCGGCCGGCCCCGCCGGCGGGTCCCCGGCGGCTGCTGCACCAGGGGGCTGGCTGCGGGACGCAGTGCGGAGACTGGAACCAGCCCCGTGGGGCAAGGGTGCAAAGCGGTCAGTGTGGAGCCAACAGCCGGTGGCAGCACGCCCCCCAGGGCGGGAACGAGCGCGGCTTCCCAGCAAAATACTGGGGCGCAGGCGGCGGGCGGCAAGACTGAGCCCAGGGGGGGAAGCGGACCCATACTTCGTGGATGCCCCATCGTGACCTGCGTGCTGGTCCATGTCCAGCTGTGTGCTAAATGAGGCCTCGTTGTATCTATCTGGCTGCGTAAGAGAGGAATATCACTTTCGGCCCAGGGCGTCTCCACGATTTGCTGTCTACGGCTTCCAAGCAGGCGCCCGCTGGCACAACGACGGCGGAGGCAGATGAGGCCACGCCCGAGGTCAAGGATGCCAAGCCCGAGGCCAAGGAGACCAACGCCGATTCCAAGGATCGAGGGGCCCGGACATCACAGGCGGTCCGGCGGATCCCTGGCAAATCGACCCCTTCCGTGACGACCCCCTGACTTGGCTAAAGGCGCGTCATGGCGCCAACTTCGCAGATCGGATCTCGGTCGGAAAAAACAAAACAAGAGCCCTGGATTTTCCTCAGACTGCCGTTCTCGGTTTCGCTGTGGCTCTCGAGCGGACATCTTCGCTCGGGAAGCGCGACTCCAAAGCGTCCCCCGTGGAATGCACTCTGCAGCGTTCGCTTGCCGTCTCGGTGTGTGTCCTATGCAGAAGCTCGCGTGCACTGTCACCGTCACGCGCGTCTGCACGACCGGGGCCGTGGGACGCAGGCCAGCGGCCGCGAGGGGAGCCGCGAGGGCGAGGGGCTCGTCGCGGAAGGGGGCTCGTCGCAGACGGAATCGCCAGAATCAGGCCGCGCACGGTTCTTCGACGCGGCGCCCCGTGGGGCTCGACCCTCTCGCCGGGGCCAGTTTCTCATGTCCGTTCCCTCACCCCGTACATCTTCGATCGTCGCGCTTGGGCTCGGGGCCTCACGCGCTGGAGCACGTCTGTCGCCCAGGTGGTGCTCCCAGCGTCAGGTGCGGCCACTGCTCTCGAGCAGAGCCCTCCGACACCGTGTGTGCTCAGCGACGCTTCAGCAGTGCTCTGCATCCCGAGTTTCGTTCCTCTGATGGCCCCAGAGCCCGAACTCGGCCCCCCGATGCCGAACACTGCGCAGAATATCAGTTGTTGTGCCCATCATCGCAGGGCCAGTTGAGACATCGGCGGCTTTTCCGCCCAGCCCAAGCCCGTTCACAATCGGTCCGCTGATCCCTCCCGGGGTCATCCTGACTTCTTTTCTAGGCGAATTCTGTCGAGGCGACGAGAAGCATCCAGGAGGCCCCAAAAGGACGAAGAGTTCTTGGGAGGGCCGACGTTGTCTCGACGGCCCCTCTTTCTGATTTCAAAACGTTGGATGTCCGGGGGCGTCTCATGCAGGAACGAGAATCGTTTCAACGCGCAACGGGGCTGAGCAGTGGCAGCTCAAGGCACTAAGCTGGAGTGCGCAATGTCTGCCGTCCCCGTGCGGTTTGAACCCTCCCAGGGGCTGGACAAAGCCAGTGCTGACTTGACGCACCTCGGGAGCGTTTCAGCGCCAAGTGACTTCAAATATTTTTAGGGGTCTCATCCGTTTCATTATCCAGAAAGTTTTTGCAGTCTTCTGCCGAAGCCCTGGCGTCTCACGTGAGCTAGTTCAGACGTGGGCTGCCAGATGGGACCAGTGTAGATTTGCGCAGTTTTGTCAGCTGTCCCGTTCAGCGCCACCCTTACTTGGAAGCTTTCTGGTGTTGAAGAGCTCCGAACTGCTTCTGGCGCTTGGGGATGCCGTCCGTTTGTGATTCTGCGTCGAGGGCGGGCTCGGAGGTGCCTCGGCGTCTCGGACCGATTGAGTCGGGCGTCGCTGTCTTTGCGCCCCTCTCCTCTTCCCAGCGGCGTTCCATTCCCCCCCCCCCGTCCTTCCCCCCGAAGCGGAATCCTGAGAGGAGAACGCGCGCCTGGATGTTATCAGCGGCGTCGTGGGGTTACGAAGGCGAACTTTGTCGACGGTGGTCAATTCGCTCAGTTTCACCATGGGCTTGGCATGGCTGACCTTCACAAAGGCGGGCGGGCCATGTGCATGAGAACCGCCTATCTACCGAAGGACGGGAGGCACGGCCATGGTTATGCACCAGGCGTGGAAGCAGGACATATTTACATGTATGTGTAGACATGTGTATGTATGAGGCGTTCCAGCAAGGGCCTTGTCTTCGAGGATCGAAGGAGTTGTCATCTCTTCCGCCGCGGAAGTCGGCGGAAGGGCGGCAGAAGGTCGGCGGAAGTAAAACGAGGCCGCCTCCGCCGGCGGAAGCCAGCGGAAGGGCGGCGAAAGGTGGCGGAAGTGAAGTATGCGTTTTTGGGTTCAGGGTTTCCGAAGTCGCCCATACATGTATTTGGGGAGGATGCAGATATGTGGAGAGGGGGAAGCGGAGTCGATAGTTCGAATGGTGGCAAGGGGAGAGAAGGGAAGCAGGGCAAGCGGGATGAGTGGGGAGAATGGGTCGGTTTGGCCCCTCTCTTAAGCTACTGTCTTCTCGCTTGGCTCTTGGGAACAGCGTCGAGCTTGATGGTGTCTGCCGGCTGTGCTCTACACGTCAGGTTCTAGACAGAGCCGACCACATGCGAATTCGCTGCGTCGGCATGTGTTGTTTGCCCTTTCTGGCAGCTTGCGCTCGCAAGGATCCGGTGCTGTTTGAAAGTGAATGGACCAGCCTGTCGGGCCCCGGCAGGGTAGCAGAACCGATAGCAGCGAACGATTGCTTGTTTGAACAAGCGTGCAATGGGCGCCACAGTTCGGGAGTTGCCAGCATCTTGAAACCGCAGTGACGGCATGATGGCGCAGTCAGCTGTTTGTTGGTCATCGTTCGTGTCCCATGTCCACACTAGTGGCGCAGCTCCAATGCGATTTGATTGTGTTTTTGCATCGCGGGGCGAACTCAAGACTCTGCCATGCGCCAGCACATGGGCAGAGTCTGCGCCAGGTTGTGATCGTCGAGGACTGTTGCAGCGAGGTCACGCAGAATGACGCTCCACAAGTGTGGCTGTGCTTCGTAATAGAGTTGGCCATACTGATGCCTGTGAGCCTCTTGATTATCAGGCGCAGGCCACCCGCTCATCCGCCATTTCTGGTCTTCAACTGTTGTGTCTCCTTACCGCCCCTCTCTTACCAGGCTCGTTCCTGATCCCATGTTGTTAGTTTCAAGTCGGGCCTGTCCCTCTACTACAGGGGGGATACTCAAAAATAGTAAAACAATAGTCTGGGGAGGATGTTTGGACAATGTTTGAGTAATTTAATGTATTTGTTGACTATGTTTTATTTGTCGCCCAAAATCCCCCCGTAGGGGAACAGGCCCGATTTAATGCGAGTTACCCATGGGCGGTCGACGTGTCATTTGGCCTCGCGAGGGAGCGATGCAAACTACGAGTAAGGAGGGCCTAACACGTGGCGAAGCAAGTGGAACGAAGTCATGCGTTGTGCGACATCAAGGGCTCCCTCGAGGGCGCGAAGTTATTCGCGCTTCGCGGTTCGGCTCCGATCCATCCTCATCCTCCTCTTCTCCCCTGGGAGGCGGCGCGAGAGCTCGAAGTTATTCGCACTTCGCGCTTCGCGCAGCGCGAAACGCGCAGTTGGGAGCCTTTGGAAACTGTATTGGAATCATGGGCGATAGCGTGACAAAGCGTGATCAGCGATCCGCCACAACATATAGCGACTCGATCACAGATCCAGCTGCATGCGGTAGTCTCCGCCACAGTTCCTGCGCAACAGCGCAGCAGCTAGGAGGCTGAGTGTCGGAACAGCGCAAGTATGACGAGCGGTCTGAAGTGAGTCAGGTCGTGAAGTCGATCTCGTCTTCGTCCGCGCGCTTGGAAGGAGGTCGAGTTCACGCCCCGCGGCAGTCCAGCGAGTAGTCTAAAAAAAAGGGGGGCCGTGACCCTGACCTTGTAGGAGGAGGTGGAGGGTGATGAGGTGGGGAACATAAGGTCGAGAAAGAAACGACCCGTCAGAGCCATCTTGGGCCCCCCTGAGCGCCGCCTGGGAGGCTCCTGAGGGCCTCTCGGGAGCCTCTTGGGGCCCTGGCGCGCCTTTGGGGCCTCATGGGGCCCCTTGGGCCGTCTTGAGGGGGCTCTTGGGGGCCTCTCTGGGCCGTCTCGGCTTGGTGCCCAGTTGTATTCTAGTTTCGGTTGCCTTGGGGCCCTCTTGGGAGCCTTTTGGGTGATCTTGAGGTCCTCTTGGGCCGACTAGGGGCCCTCTTTGGAGCCCCCGGGGCTGCCTTGGAATATTTGGGAGACCTCTTGCCGTCTTGGGCAGTCGGATCCCCAAACAGGCGACAACACCAAAACTCACCAAGATCTGAACGGACATCAATGGCTTCGGGCTCCTCAGACTCTCCTGGAGGGCCTCTCGTACCCTTCGACGGGTGTCTTGGAGCCCCCTGCGAGCCGCCTTGAGTTCGTCTTGGGAGCCTCTTCAGCTGTGTTCGGCTACAGTCGGGGCGCTGAAGAAGGAACCCTTTTCGTTGGGGAGGGGCTCGGTGTTCCTTGATTGCTTTGCAGTTTGCCTTGGATCTTCCTGAGGTTCTCCATGGGAAGTCGAGGCTCAACTGATGGGAAAAAGGGGCCTCGTTCCTTATTTAGGGTTCCTTTTAGGTCAACGCCCCGACTGTATCTTGACCCGTCTGGAGAACAACTGTCAGAAGGGAAAGAAACACACAGACACAATTAATCGTCGACTCCCAGGAAAATATACAAAAATATGGGAAGTGGGGGGGAAGACAAAAAAAAACCCAAAATATTGGAAAATATGGGGGATCTTTTTACCTAACAGCGAAGACTGATAGGTTTCTAGTAGTCTCAAAAGAGAGCAGCACATTACTCCACAGGGGGGTCTGGGCAGCCGTTGGGGAGCCGTTGGGGGCCGTTGGGGGGCCGTTGGGGTTTGCCGGGGGGGATCGTTTTTCGCATACAGTCACACACTTCGTGCTTTTCGATTTCCCAGAACTCCATTCCCGGGCCACATTCTGAATGCCCGGAGCCAACTGTACGCCACTTCGTGCTCTTCGACTTCCCAGAACTCCATTCCCGGGCCACATTTTGGATGCCCGGAGCCAACTGTAGGCCACTTCGTGCTCTTCGACTTCCCAGAACTCCATTCCCGGGCCACATTTTGGATGCCCGGAGCCAACTGTAGGCCACTTCGTGCTCTTCGAGTTCCCAGAACTCCATTCCCGGGCCACATTTTGGATGCCCGGAGCCAACTGTAGGCCACTTCGTGATCTTCGAGTTCCCAGAATTCCATTCCTGGGCATGATTTTGAATGCCCGGAGCCAACTGTAGGCCACTTCGTGTTCTTCGAGTTCCCAGAATTCCATTCCCGGGCCACATTTTGAATGCTGAGGCAGGCTGAGGCTGAGGCTGAGGCAGGCTGAGGCTGAGGCAGGCTGAGGCTGAGGCCGAGGCTGAAGGCAGACTGAGGCTGAGGCTGAAGCAGCTGAGGCTGAGGCTGAGGCAGGCTGAGGCTGAGGCAGGGCTGAGGCAGGCTGAGGCTGAGGCTGAGGCTGATGCAGGCTGAGGCTGAGGCAGGCTGAGGCTGCTGAGGCCAAGGAGGCAGACTGAGGCTTTGGCTGCAGGCTGAGGCTGAGGCTGAGGCTGAGGCTGAGGCGAGGCTGAGGCAGGCTGGCTGAGGCTGAGGCTGAGGCTGAGGCAGGCTGAGGCTGCAGGCTGAGGCTGAGGCCGAGGCTGAGGCAGGCTGAGGCTGAGGCTGAGGCTGAGGCTGAGGCTGAGGCAAGCAGGCTGAGGCTGAGGCTGCAGGCTGAGGCTGAGGCTGAGGCTGCAGGCTGAGGCTGAGGCTGAGGCTGAGGCGAGGCTGATGCTGAGGCAGGCTGAGGCTGAGGCTGAGGCTGATGCAGGCTGAGGCTGAGCAGGCTGAGGCTGAGGCCAGGCTGAGGCAGAGGCTGAGGCTGAGGCTGAGGCTGAGGCTGAGGCTGAGGCTGAGGCAGGCTGATGCTGAGGCAGGCTGAGGCTGGCTGAGGCTGGCTGAGGCTGATGCAGGCTGAGGCTGAGGCAGGCTGAGGCTGAGGCCGAGGCTGAAGGCAGACTGAGGCTGAGGCTGAAGGCTGAGGCTGAGGCTGAGGCAGGCTGAGGCTGAGGCTGAGGCAGGCTGAGGCTGAGGCAGGCTGAGGCTGAAGGCTGAGGCTGATGCAGGCTGAGGCTGCAGGCAGGCTGAGGCTGAGGCGAGGCTGAAGGCAGACTGAGGCTGAGGCTGAAGGCAGGCTGAGGCTGAGGCTGAGGCAGGCTGAGGCTGAGGCAGGCTGAGGCTGAGGCCTGAGGCTGCAGGCAGACTGAGGCTGAGGCTGAAGCAGGCTGAGGCTGAGGCTGAGGCAGGCTGAGGCTGAGGCTGAGGCTGGCAGGCTGATGCTGAGGCAGGCTGAGGCTGAGGCTGAGGCTGATGCAGGCTGAGGCTGAGGCAGGCTGAGGCTGAGGCCGAGGCCGACGGCAGACTGAGGCTGAGGCTGAAGCAGGCTGAGGCTGAGGCAGAGCAGGCTCAGGCTGAGGCTGAGGCAGGCTGATGCTGAGGCAGGCTGAGGCTGAGGCTGAGGCTGATGCAGGCTGAGGCTGAGGCAGGCTGAGGCTGAGGCCGAGGCTGAAGGCAGACTGAGGCTGAGGCTGAAGCAGGCTGAGGCTGAGGCTGAGGCAGGCTGAGGCTGAGGCAGGCTGAGGCTGAGGCTGAGGCAGGCTGAGGCTGAGGCAGTGACTGCGACTGCCGTTGCCACTGCGACTGTCATCGCGAATGCGACTACGACTGCGAGAACAGCAGAATTCTACAACTGGATTCTCATCCGAATCTTAAGGGGAATGCTACACATCGATGTTAGGTTGCTTTGCCGGGATAATTATTTGTGTGTATTTATTTGTGTGTCCTAGGGCCCCTTCAAACTGAGAGTGCCCGAGAGCCCCCCCGTCCACCACGGAAGGCGCCTTTTGATGTTCCGGTCCCCCTCTCCAAGAAAACTGTCACTTCTGGTGACGTTTGGCCATGTCAGCAAATATGTTTTGTCAGTTCTAAGGTTTGCTATTCGAAGCACTGGCAATTGGTCGTCACGTCGGTTCCCTGTGCCAGCATGCGGGTTTGCGTCGGGTCGGGAGCGTTCGCACCGGGGGCGCGCCGCCGCTTCTGCATCTGCGTGCTCGTGCCTGACTCGTTCGTGGCCCGATGTGGTCGGTGCCCCATCAGAGCCAAGCTATGACCAACTTGTCGCGCTTGGCACAAGCTAATGCTATGTCAAAACATTCGGGAGCAGCTTGGGCTTGGAGGCCCAAGCCGCAGGGACCTGTGCATCACAGTGAGCGCATCTAGGGCTCGATGCGTCGGGGGACCTTCGTGATTATGTCACAAGAAGCGAGTCGAACGAAAGGCGATGGCCCGACGCACGCCACCCACGAGGCCCTGTTTGGCCGGAGCGCTGCTTGGCGAATGCTGGATAGGAAGAGCTGCCTCTGCCGACGTTGTTCGCTGAGTGCGTCGACGCCCTCCTAAAGGGAGCCTCTGGAAAGCCTTTTGAGAGCCTGTCGAGGCCTGGTGGGGGCCTCTCTGGGGCGCTCATGGAGCCTCTGGAGAGCCTCCTGGAAGCTCGTCGGGGCCTTGTGGGGGCCTCTCGGCGGCTTCTTGGGGCCTCTGAGGGCCGCTTGTGGGCCTCTGCGGCCTTTTAGGGCCTTCCTGGGGGCCTCTTGGTGCTTGTGGGGAGCCGCTTGGGAGCCTACGTGTGGCCTGTAGCTTCCTTGGGGCTTCTTGGAGGCCTCTCGGGCGCTTTTGAGAACCTCTTGGAATTTTTGTGAGCCTCTCGATGCCATTCTTAGACCTCGTGTGGGTCTCCAAGACCGTCTTGGCACGATCTTGAGGGCCTCGTGGGCCGTCCTGGACGCTGTCGAGACCAGTAATACCGTAATACACAACTGGCAGGACAATCGTGTGCTTCACACTTTTAGCACCCCGAAGGCGTCCTGGAAAACCTCTTGTTGCCCTCTTGGGCCTGCTGGGCGGCCTCCTTGGACCGCTTTGGGACCAGCGTGGCCGTTTTCGAGACTACGCTGGGCCGTCGTGGAATCCGTAGAGGGTTAGCCTCTGACTTGGAGTTGACAATGGCCATCATGAGGTCTAGCTGCGGCCATATGGGGAATTATGTGCCATTCCCTCTGAGGCTTCCTGGGGCCCAGGGCGAGAAGCTCGGGCGGCAGTGTCCACGGACCCCCTCTGCCGTAGGCTTTGTATTTGGGAGCAGTTTCTGCTTGGAAGGCCGAAAGCGCAGGGACCTGGCCACAGAAATTAACGCATCTTGGGCTCGAATGCGTCGGGGGACAGCACTACTGGTTCGCAAGAATGCGAAAGGACCCGACGCACACCACCCGCAGTAAGCGCGGTGGCTGGTCATACAGGCAAGGAGTAAACTAGATGAGCAGATTGTAATGGCCATAGGGGCCCTCGCCCCCGAGACGTCCGCCTCGTGCCGACGACGAGCACGACAGAGCCTGCCAGAACTGAGCATAACATAGCATGATCGAGCAGAGCATCACATAACATGGCATAACATAACATAACATGGCGCATCATCACATGACATGGCTCGCTATGACACTACAATAGCATAACAAAGCATGCTACGGCAGAGTGGTTCAGACATACCACAGGATTGCATCACACACCATACCATGGCACACCATACCATAACATATCACACCATCTCATACCATGGCAGCGTGTGCGCTGCCAGAGCGCAGCATACATGTTACCACATACCAGACCATATCATAGCATAGCCGCACAGCCGATCACAACATATCATACCATACTGAATCCTATAATTTCTCTGCGCAGTATAGCCACGTATGCTATGTCAGGGACGCTTGCACATAACATAGCATCGCATACCATGGCCCAAACTGACAGATCGCACCATGACATTCCATACCATGGCATAGCATAACATGACATCACATATACCAAGGCTGACCACAGCATGGCATACCATGATATTCCGAAACAGAGCACGTACGACAATACTCCACGCGATCATACTATGACACACCATGACATAACATAACAACTCGTAACCCAGTATCACATACCATATCGCTTTATACGTTGGCAAAGCATATCGTGACAACGCGCGTCATGACATGTGATGCATTGCCAATCCGCCACACGTCATAACATACCATTCCACAGCATGTCATGGTGGACGGAACAGGGCATGGCAGAACGCAGCATCGAGCATAGTCTAACATAACAGAGACACGATTGCAACGATTGCACTGCAACGTCATTGAATCTGGTATACTCCAGAGGAGTATATTGACATAAGAAAGCATCGCGTGACATATACTGAGTATAGCACGACGTAGCGCAATCAGTATTACACACAGCAAACTAGATCATAACTTGACAGAACATGACATACCATAATACGGCGCCGCAGAGCAGAGCAGAGCATACGATATCAAAGCACATGGTGCTTGAAGTGAGCATCAGAGGGAATACTTTAGCATAAGAGAAGCATAGCTGAATAGGGACATCACAGCATAGTAGATGGTACTACGATGTATTCGCGACGTGCGCGCCGAGGGCAGGCTGGCCACAGGAGCAAGCAGGCGCAGCAACGAACGAACAATCGTACGACTTATCTATCGTGACAGGCGTCACGGCGTCACGCCGGCCCGTCGAGAACAGCACAGACGTAGTAGAGCACAACAGAGTAGAACATGTTCAAATCAGCATGATGTAACGAATCGAGCCTAGCGTAACCAGCATAATATAGGATTGTAATTATACTGCTACCTCTACGTCAGTGACTGAATTATCCCGATTCTCCATAACTTCAGGGAGGACGTATGTCATAGCAGAGCATCTCATACTATATTAGGGCGAGTGAGCATACACTGGAAGCCATCACGGACAATAGCACGACATGACAAGTTTGCAACAGCATACGCATAATGTCACAACGTAGTATCACAGAGCAGAGCATGCCATTTCATAGAAGTCAAATGGTTACAGAGTTTAGCATAACAGGGTGTGGTTTAACAGAAGAGCAACACAAATTCCAGACGCTTCGCGTAACCCCACCAGTTTAATTTAGTTCATTTTGTTCTGTGCATGTGCAGCTGCGAGCGTGTCCTGCAGGTGCGAACTGGCTGCCGACAGTGGCGGCTGTGTTCGCAAATTCGCTCCGTGCCGCATCCCGGACGCTGCGTCCGCTCCCTGACATTTGCCTTGGAGCCGCGAACCAAAAAAGTAACCCCACCAGCCTGCAAGTGCCTGAGCTTCCCTGGACGCCCTCAGCTCGCCAGCTCTCCCGCGCAGCCTGCCGCTGCTTGGTGAGTGGGCCGGCCGGCCTGCGCCGCGTTTAGTAGCTAATTAGGCCGCTACCGTGTCCCGGAGCACTTCTGACTCCGCTAGCGCCTTCGCTAGTCGACGCGACCAAAAAAGTACCCCCTCCAGCCCATCCAGCAACGATGCCCAGATGAATTGCACGATCAAGCAAGTGGGCAGCACACAGAGGAAGAGCCCCCCAGTGGAGGCCTCTTGGAGCGTCTTGGGGGCTTCTTGGCGGTCCCAGACGCCTCTTAGAGCATCTTGGGTGCTTCGGAGAGTTTCTTGGGGCCTCTTGGGGGTCTCTTGGCAGCCTCTTGGAGGCATCTTCGGCGCCTGTTGGGGCCTCCTGGCCGCCTCTTGGTGCCTCTTGAAGCGCTCTTGGGAGCCTTGGGAACGCTCTTGGAGCCCTCTTGGGCCATCTTGGAGCCATCTTGAGGCCTCGGATGGCCATCGGCAGCGAAAAAGCGAGAAGGCCAAAAACATTGATGCTCCGATCGTTTTGGAAGGATTTTAGCCTCGTCAGGGCCTCCTGGGGGAGCTCTGTGGCCACTTGGAGCCGCCTTGGAACAGTTTTGGGGCTTGTTGGAGTATCGTGGGAGCCATCTTGAGGCACCTTGGGGTATGTGATATGTTGAACCATCTTGGAGATCATCGTGGGCTTTCCCAGGCGCTCTTGGAGTCATATTAGGCAGTGCCCCCCACTGGAGGCTAACATGTGGCCAAAACCTCAGTAACATGAGTGATTTTGGCATTGTCGCCGAGGCCTCTTGGAGCGTCTTGGGTGCCTCTGGGGGGCCTCTTGGGGCCTCCTGGGGGTCTCTTGGGAGCCTCTTGGGGGCATCCTGGGGGCCTCTTGGGGGCCTCTTGGGGCCTCCTGGCCACCTCTTGGGGCCCTCTTGGGGCACCCTTGGGAGCCTTGGGAGCGCTCTTGGGGCCATGTCGGAGGAGATCGATAAAAGAAGGGGGGACCCTCAATTAGCGCTGCCCCCCCCAAAAGGCCAAAATGGGGCCCAAACCATGGTAAAACCAATGAGTTTGGCTTCCTCGCCGAGGCCGTTTTGGACGCTCCGACGACTCGCGGAACGCCCCGTCCAGGTCCACGGGAGGGGGTAGGGGGAGGGGTCAAGACTCATTTCCCGCCCGCAAGCCGTCTCGCTCACTCCCACCCGCTCTCCCAACACATACGTAACACCCGAGTCTGGCCCGAGCCTCAGCATATCCAGCAGTCGTCTTTGGATGGGCAGCTACTGAGGGCCAATCCGCCGCCGCCGCCGCCGCCGTCTCCGCCGCCGCCGCCGCCGCAGCCGTCGCCGCCGCCGCCGCCGCCGCCGCTGCCCGCCGCCGCCGCCGCGCCGCCGCCGCCGCCGTCGCCGCCGCCGCTGCCAAATCGCCGCCGCCGCAGCCGCTGCCGCCGCAGCAGCCGCTGCCGCCGCCGCCGCCGCCGCCGCCGCAGCAGCCGCAGCCGCAGCCGTTGCCGCCGCAGCAGCCGCTGCCGCCACCGCCGCCGCCGCCGCCGCCGCCGCCGCAGCCGCCGCCGCCGCCGCAGCCGCCGCCACCGCCGCCGCAGCCGCCGCAGCCGCCGCCGCAGCCGCCGCAGCCGCCGCCAAGTGTACTCTGCATTGTTGTTTGGCAGGGATGGTGGGGGGAGGCCGCATCGGGTTGGCTGCGCATGCTCCGAATTTTGAGGCAGAGTGTGTGTTTGCGTGGTTTTTGTTGCAAGGGATTGTGGGGGGGGGGGGTCCTCATGGTTCCTGGTTGGCTACCAGTCGACTGGGTGGAGGGGGTGTTTACTAATCGGGAGCAGTGTTAAACCCTTCCCCGAAGGGGAAGAAGGGGGTGGAAGAGGAAACGCCCTAAACCACCTACGCCCTAAAGAGCTGGTGGGATTTGAAGAAAAACTAAATAACGCAATCGGCCGCACCATAACATAATCAAGCGCGACGTGCGCCCCAATGTCAGCCCGGCCACACGTACAAACACGCGCAGCAACGACCGATCGGACGACGCATTTAACGTGACAAGCGTCGCGGCGCCACGCCGTCTTGTCGACTGCATAACATATTGTACTGTAGCATCGCAGAATAGAACCTTATCGGGCATAACATACGAGGAGGATGATGTGAGCAACAAGTTCTGGGGTCTCGCATGACGCGTTTGGGGGGCTGGTTTGTCGCTCCTGGGACTTGTGTTGGTTTCTTTCTTCAGGGGCTCGGGGTTTGTAGGTTTCCGGAGCACACCAGCTTGCGACCTGGCCCGCCGGCCGCCGCGCTGGCCGAGACCGACGGGCCCCACGCACATCGTTCCCGACGAAATCACCCGAAAACCTCGAATCTCGATTTTCGAGATTCGAGGTCTTCGAGGTTTCGAGGTTTCGAATCTCGAAACCTCGAACTTCTTAGCTACATGTCAGGGGCGACCGCCCTTTCTGCTGTGTTTTGTCGGACGGTCGGAGGCCCGGGGCGCCCGTGGGACCCCACACGGCCGCCCAGGCTGCACCTCGACAGGCTCTCCGAGGAGGCCTACGCCACAGGGAGGACTCGGGCAATACTACCCATCGGTCGTTGAAAGTAGGTATTTTTGGATTCCCAGATTCCCATCTACTTTCGGCGCCTTCCTACTTCAAGAGTCGAGTGGTTTTCCCTCTTCCTTCCTCTTCAGGAGGCGGGCGGAAACCCAATGTATTTCCAACGCCTTCCTACTGCATGTTTCTACCTACTTCTTCCGACCGATGGGTAAGGGAGCCACCACCAGGGGCGGCGCAATCGAAGTCCCAGCGTGGAAGATCGAGGAGGTTTACTGGGCGTCTGACGGGCAACGGAGGCTCTGGAGTGCTTTCGGGGAGGATTCGACTGCGACGCACCAGCAGAAAACATCGACTTTCGCAGGTCCGCGCGGATTTCTTGGGTCGACGCTGGGCCCCTGTGGCGGCGCCTCCGGTGCCGCCCCTGGCGCGCTCCGCGCGACAGGGAGGGGGGCCCAGCGCCGATCCAAGAGATCCGCGCGGAGCTCCGAGAATTTCTGTGCACGTGCGGCGGGGGCGCTCGTCAAGGAATGTGGCGAGGAGGGTGCAGACCCTGGTGGGTTCCTTGTCTGATGAGGGCGGCGGTGATACCCGTGGCCGCTCCACCATTGGAGTTCCACTGGCTTCCAGACCCTGGAGTCCTCATCCAAAGGCTACTGGCCCAATGCCCTCACCACAGCCGTCTGCTCCTGTGAGGATGGACGACGCGGAGAAGCTGCGCGCGCGCGCCCTGGTCTACCAGACCATGGTGCCCGGCCGGGCCTCGCGCGCGGGCGCGTGCCCACCTCGCTCGCCCCCGAGATTCGGAGGAAGACTGCGATACAGATCCACCCCGTTCCCCCCCCCCCCCCCCCCCTCCCGTTCCCCCCCTCCCTCCCCCCGACAAGAGGAAACAGTTCAGAGGGGGAGGGGGCTCCGCCGGGCGGCCAGCGGCTTTCGGGCCCGCTCGGCCGCGTCGGCGATGCTTCATGACCCCTGACCCGCGTGACCCAGGCGGGGGCGGAAGCGCGGCGTACCCGCGCGGCCGCAAACTCTGTAAAGGGTGGAGGGTAACCGTAAAGGCGGTGGTAGGGGGGACGGTGGAGGGCTTCTCCGAATGGCTAAATTAGGCGACCCGTCCTCCCCCTCCTCCTCCTCCTCCTCCTCCTCCTCCTCCTCCTCCTCCTGCTCCTCCTCCTCCTTCTCCTCCTCCTCCTCCTCCTCCTCCTTGGGTCGCCTACTGCCTCGGGGGAGACCGTGCAGGGGACGGAGGGTGGACCTGTGTGAGCTGTCGACCTCCTGCGATCCCGGCCCCGCATCCCTGCTGCCGCGGCGGGCGTCGCTGGCCCGCTTGGGGCCCTCGCGGGCTGGTGCGGCCCGCCTGAAGATTGGGCCCAGGGTTCCGGCCATCTGCTGTTGTTGTTGCTGTTGTTGTCGGTGGTGGGGTTGGTGTTGGTGCTGGTGATGGTGTTGTTGTTGCTGCTGCTGTTGTTGCTGTTGCTGCTGTCGTTGCTGTAGTTGCTGTAGTTGTTGCTGTAGGTGCTGTTGTTGCTGTTGTTGCTGCTGTTGCTGTTGTTGTTGGTGGTGGTGTTGTTGCTGTTGTTGATGCTGCTGTTGTTGTTGTCGTTGTTGTGCGATGCGTCCTTCGTGTTTCCCTTCGTCCCTGTTTCTTGCGTCCGTCCCTGTCTGCTTCCCATCGTGCTTCTCCCCCCCCCTTTCTCGCGCCACGATCGCGCGGCACGGTCTTTAGTCCGAGAGTCCGGCGCCACTGCGCCACCGCTCCGTGCCTAGTGGGATCGCGCCCTGGCGCGATGGGAGCGTCCGTCCGTCCGTCCGTCCTCTCCTTCCTCCTCGCCCTCTTCCCCCTTCTTTCCGGCCAGTTCTTGCATGGTGGAGACCTCGCCCCATCAGTTCGGATGCTGACGGTTTGCGTCACCCAGGCTCAGCCGCGTCGCCTTTCGTCGCCCTGGGACTCCTCGTGGACAACCAACTCTGTGTCGAGGCAGCCCCGAAAACGGGGTCCAGGCATCGGGGATCAGGTGGATGCCATCAGCATAGCATGAGCTGTTGGAGGGCCGCGCGGATCGGCGCCGGACGCCCTTCCTGGGCGCGCGGAGTGCGCCGAGGGGCGGCTCCGGAGGCGCCGCCAGGGGGGGTTCGGCGCCAGCCCAGGAAACCAGGGCGGACCAGGGGGGGGGGGGCGAAGCTCCCGGCCTCCCACTCGGAGGCGCGCGGAAGGGGAGGTGCGGCAGCCCCCCGAGACTCCGGAGAAGGCCCGCCCCCATCGCACTGGCACCCTCGGGCCGCCGCCGCCGACCAACGGCCTGGCGCCCTCGGGCCTCGAGCCTCGAGCGGGCATCGAGAGGCCGTCGTCCCAGCCCCTGGCGATGGCGGGCGTGGCCGGGGGAGGGCCAGGCAGCGGGGGAGGGGGCCGCCGGTCACGTCACGATTCGCGCCAGCGCCGCGATGAATGGCCACTTCCCAGACGGCGTCGGCGCGAATCGTGACGTGACCAAGGGGGGGGGGAGGGGGGAGGAGGCGGGGCCAGTCACGGGCGCTGTCGCGAACGAAGATGCAGGCTCGATTTTGGCCGCGAGTGCACCCCAGGACAGGGCCCCATATCTCCGATGATAAGATTTTTGGAATCCTGCCGTTTTCCTCGATTCCGGCCTCTGGGGCCCGTTGTCGGTCTCAGTGGCCATCAAAATTTCACCCCGCGGCGAAATCTAGCCCTGGAGAGCAAGTCGGGAGCTCCGGGCCCGCGAGTTGAAGAAAAAAACAAAAACAGATCGGAGGATGTCTGGGTCCGAGGGCCGGCTTGTGGCCCTGTGGACCCAGACATGTACCGTCTCGGAGAAGCCGTCGGGTTCTCCCGTCCTCCGGCGGGCGCCCGCGATGGCGCGCAGCGCTGATGGATCCGACATGGGCGCGGGGAGGAGCCTCGCCACCGTGCCTCTCCTTCCCTGTCCCGATCCCCGTCGCCCGCCGAGGCCCCCCCGAAGGTTAGGCAGGGGTTGCGGCCAGGCAGCTTCCTGTCTCTCGCCTCCGATCCTCCTGCTCTCGAGGCCAGAGCCTGTGATGTCCACCGGCTATGAAGCCGATCTGTCGAATGGCCTTCGGCCCATCCCGCCGAGATGCCCGGGTTGCGGGTATGGAGCCTGTTGGATGTTCGTTGGGATCTCGCGGGAGGCGTCTCGGGGGGGTCGGATTTTCGGTTCGTGTTCCCTCTCTTGGGCCCCTTTCGGGGCCGTCTTGGTGATCTGAAACGGCCGTCTAGGGCGCCTCTTGGGCCGTCTTAGGGCGCTCTTAGGCCGTCTTGGGGCCCTCTTGGGGGCCTCCTGGGCCGTCTTGGAGCGTTGGAAAGCCGAATAGGCGAGACCGCCTAAATCGATCAAACCCCAAAGGAAAAGCAATGATTTGTGCCTCTCGGGGTCCTCTTGGGAGGCCTCCTGGAGGCCTCTCGGGGCGTCTTGGAGGCTTCTTGGGCCGTCTTTGCCCTGGGAGATTTGGCAACTCAGGCTCCGGGCACGTTTGAAGACCCTTCAGGAGTGAGGACTGAGGCTCAGGGCATTCGGGTAAAGGACCTGAGGACACGCCCACTCCATGCCCAGCGGCACGGTGGCGGATCCCAGGACCCCAGTTGGCGACGGATTCGCGATATTTGTCAGTCCCCCGAGGCCCGAAGCGTCCAAATCTTCTGCCTCCTGGTGTCCTGGGACATCGGTTCCGTAGGATGCAATAGTCCTTGGGAGGGTAAGTTCAGCATCGGCGGCTTGTATATCCGTAGTCGCAAACCAACCAGATCCGACACGGTCCCGTTCTGTTCCGCTGAATTTCGCGCGATCTGGTGAAATCCGGTTCACTCTTGGGCTTCTTCGGGCCTGATCCGGCTTCACGGCCCCTCAGTCGGGCGTTGTAGTTCCCAGCCGTTCTCACGCAGACCTCCTTCTCCCAGCAGTTGCTTCTTGAGGTTCCCCAGGCGGTGGATACTTTCAAGCGTCGGCCGCGGACTTTGGCCCCTCGTTTCCTCGGCTTCGGCTGATGGACAACATCCTCTACCTTTTTACGCCGATTCTTGCTGACGCCCCCGGCGCCCCCAACTTTTGATTTGCGGTCTGCGACGCGGTGTGCCAATTTGCCGACTGTCCGAAAGCCTGCACCCCGCTTTCGATGCCAGCGAGCATTGAATCGGGGGCAGGGCGGGCGCGTTGAAGTTCGCGCCAGCACGCTGGTCGCGCGGGCGGCGCAGGATGATGGCCATCCACCATTCCGCCGTGTCATTGGTGGCCACCCTCTGCCCTCCGCCCTCTTCCGTGCCTTCTCTCTTCGGCTCGCGTTGCCAGGCGTCGCGCGCCTTGACGCGCCGCGCGCCCGCGGCTCCCCCGCCCCGCGCGCGCAAGGTCGGCCTGTCCTTCGCGGATGGCTTTGGATCAGGAGGTGCCTGCCGTGAAGCAGACGGGTTCCAATTTCCGATGGGAACAGGTCCGAGGCTCTTCGCCACTGTCGGACCCAGCCACGCGCAGAGGGGGGTGAGGGGAGGGGGGAGGGCTTCTTAGAAGCACCCCTGCTTCTTAGAAGGCGTGGGCCTTCTCTATAGATGTAAGGCCGGCGCCTTCTGAGAAGCAGCCCGCTTCTAAGAGGCCCCCCCCCTCCCCCCACCCCATTGCGTGCGCCGCCAACGGACTCCTGGGGGCCCTCCCCGGGCCCCGACAAGCTCAGGTCGCGGATGACTTAGATCGCCAGGACAGCTGCCGCGACCCCAGCTCAGCGTGCCGGCGTTCGGCGGGGGCGCCGGCGGGCGGCTGAGAGCGCGCGGACGCGCGCGTTCCCTCGCCCCCCCTTTTTCTCCCCCCCCTTCGCTCGCCGCTTTCTCTGATCTCTGCCCCTGGGCTCCTCCGCCTGCGCTGGTAAGTGTCGATGTCTCTCCTCCCCTCCCCCACCCTGGCCTTCCAGCCCGAGAGACAGGTGTCCTGGGCAGTGGGCTTCACCCTCGCGGCGCAGCTGTCCGCGGCGGCCAGCGCGTCGCTGCCGGCGTCGCCATGGGAGTGGAAGCTCTTCTACGCGGAGCCCTCAGCCTCCAGGGACTCCAGGGCCCATCTTGATTCAGTCGATCCGATTCGATATCGATGCTGGCCGGGCCGATCCGATTCGATTTCGATATTCCGACGATCCGTTGCGGCCCGATGCTAGCATGGCGCAGTTGTGCAGCTTGGCGAAGCCGATCCGATTCGATTTCGATTATGTGCCGAAGTAGCCCGACCCGATGCACATTCCGAGTCGATCCGAGTTCCCGATTCGATGTTGGGTGGTCCCGGCCATTGGCGGACCGTGCACATAGATGTATACATACACAAATTTGTGTATATATACATATATGCATACACATGTAGCCAACGTGGAACCCAAACATTGTATACTTTAGCATCACACATGTATATATAGAAAGACAGATACATCGCTATGCATATATGCCTCGATACATGTCTGTATGTGTATCTAAGCGACAGACGTACGCATACAGCCAAACGTGTATGGTACATGTGCCAGATTATATGCACATACCTGTTCAAGCACTTTTGTATACACGCATATGTGTATACATGTGTACACATGCATACATATATATATATATATATATGTAGATCGGTATCCATATGTGTATAGAGATAGATCGATATTTACATCTTGTTATACATATAGTTGGCAGCCAATGCGTAACAACACATGTGGTGAGTCTACGTGGTGCAATATGGTGTGCAGCCTAGGTTGTGCAACCTGTGTTGTGCAATATCGGTAGTGCAATCTTCGCGGGACAACATGTGTGGTACAAGGCACGTGTGCAGCCTATATTGTGCAATCCATGTTATGCCATACATATACATATATATGTAGAAATATGTGTATCCATACCTGTAGATATACACTTATATATGAATAGAGAGGGAGAGAGATAAATAATGAGAGAGAGGGAAAGAGAGAGAGAGAGAGAGAGAGACAGAGAGAGAGAGAGAGAGCGAAGAACAACACACAATGTATTTCATTAGACCCCCCCCGCCTGGGGGCGGCCACTCCGCAACCATTCAGGGACACTTGTTGATACCCTCCCGATTCGCTTCCCAGATGCGGCCCGGAGAGGCCAGAGGGGCCCCAGACAGCGCCCAATAGGGTTCAAGAGGCCTTCAAGACAGCCCAAGAGCGCTCCAAGACGTCCAAGATGGCCCCAAGATTGCCCAAGAGGCCCCAAAGAAGCCCCAAGAGCGCTCGAAGAGGACCCCCAAGAGAGCCCAAAGAGGCACAAATCAGTGATTCCCATTTTTTTTGTTCAATGTGTTCCACGTTCTCGCGTTATGGGCTTCCGAAGCTCCAAGATGGTCCCAGAGGCACGACGGCCCAAGATGCCCCCAAGAGGACCCCAAGATGGGCCAAGAGGGCCCCACAATGAACCAAGGGGCGCCCAAGATCGCCCAAGAGGACCCCAAGATGGCCCCCAGAGGGGCCCAAGATGGCATCAAGAGGGGCCCAAGAGGGGGAACACGAACCGACATTTCGGGCTTTCCGCCCGAAGAGGCCCCCCTGGAAGGCCCAAGAGGCCCCCAAGCGAGCCCAAGAGGCGCCCTGGAGGCCCCACGATGCCCCCAAGAGGCCCAAAAAGAGGCCCCCAAACGGCCCCCAAGAGGCCTCCAAAACTGTTTCCAAGGGGCCCCCGAGAGGCCTCCCACGATATCCAAACGAACTTCCAAGAGGCCTCTAACCCACAACTCAGGCACGGTGGCGGGATGGGCCGAAAGGTCACTACTTACGCAGGCTGACAGATTCCAGGCCGTACTACTTGCTTTAACGAAGAAATCGGCGCCTGCGGCGGGCTCACTGCATAATTTGTAAAAGTTAGGTGCCTGCGGTGGGCTTCTTCAGAGCCTCGCAGACTGACGACGTCCTCGCCGCCCCCGCAATTTTATCCACAACTGCGGGGTGCTACGTACATGTGCAGAAATATGTGTACATGCCCATAAGTATTTATGTATTCGTTTATGTTCATATATATATATATATATCCTGGTTCACGAGGCCAGGGCGCCAGTGGCCCAGGACCAGATCAGGAGCCCCGGACCGTCCCGAGAGGCTTTGAGACGTCTCAAGTGGTGCCCCAGACGGCGCAGGCCAAGAACATTCAACACGTTGATCCTCGATCCTCCTGGTCCTTCTTCTGCCCGTCGCACCTCTCATCTTCAGTTTCTCGGGCTTGGGCATCGCAGGTCCGATCGCATCCTGGCCAGAGATATCGGTCTGATCAGGCCACGCGTGTTCGTGTGCACTGAGGCTCTGGCGCTGCTTGTTCTCGTCGTGGCGCTTGGGGATTACCGAAATCAATGATAGACGCTTCGCGCATCCCCACCCACCAGCCGATCCAGAACGTTTGTCGCTGAATTGTCGTGCAAAGAGAGGTGGTGTAGCGCCAGGCATGTGACAGGGAGAGCCCTCCCCGAAGAGGAGGAAGGGGTTGCTCTGGAAGGGCTCGTGCGTAAAACTAAGTCCGCCCTGAGGGCTGATGGTATTACCTATGGTGGAAGTCCAGTGCTTTGGTTTGCACTCATGTGGTTCGTTCCTCCCTTTCTCTCTCCCTCTGTCTCTCGTTCTCTCTTCTTCTTCTCTCTCTCTCTCTCTCTCGCTTGTTTTGCATTATCTCTATTTGTTTATCTCATATGTGTATACGTATGTATGTAAACATATGCATACATATGAAAAGTTGTAACATGATGTATGCGTAGACACATACACCTTGAGGTTCTGGCAGTCGCTGTGCTAATTGATTCCTCGGTTTGGTATTCGATCGGGTTGGGACGGCTATGGCTCGCGGTCGTCTGTGAATTTCGATGTCAAAGCTACTGGGGCCTAGGACGCGGCCTCTTGGGGCCTTCCGGGGCCTTTGTTGGGGATCTTTACGGGGCCGCTTGGGGCCTCTTTAGGGCTTGCTGGCAGTCTCGGGGGCTCCCTTGAAGCGGAAGGCTCGATATCTCAATGCGAGCTCCCCCTCCTGGACCCCTTTGGAGACCCTCTGGGGGGCCCTGTTGGGCTGCCTTGGGCGCTTCGTGGGCCGTCTTGGGGCCCTCTTGGGGCGTCTCGGGGCCTTCTTTGAAGCCTCTTGGGCCGTCTTGGGGTGATCTGGGATTGGCCGTCGTGGACGCCGTGCCGTGATGGCAGACAGATAGTATATGCTAACATGTTAGTTTCCTCAGGGAATGGGGCAAAGCTTGTTTTTTGGAACTCTCTTGGAATGGCTCTTGGAGGCCCCTGGGGGCGTCTTGGAGACCTCTTGGGCCAACTGGAGACCATCTGGAGCGTCTTGGACCGTTCGCTCGGCGACCTGGGGCCTCTTCGAATTGTCTGCAAGCCCTCTTGGAGTCCTCTTTGCCCGTCTTGGGGCCCTCTTGGGGCACTCTGGGTCCGTCTTGGGCCTAGTTCTCGATGCATCTAGGTATTTAGTGTATGTTTACAGCTATGTTTGCCTCTAGTGCCCTCCCGCATGTGAACTTTGCTGACGGATTCGCACCTACGTTCTACATGCCCTCATAATCCCTTCCCTGATCTTCCTCTTCCTCTCCATGCACGTCCTATTCGTCCTTCTATTCATTGTTATGCTCGGCGTCTTCCTCATTCTTCAAAAGTTCGCTCGTTCTCCTTCTCTCTCTCTCTCTCTCCCTCTCCCCTTCTGTGCTTGTTCTCCCTCAGCCGTTCTCTCTCTCTCTCTCTCTCTATCGCTCTTTCTCTATGCTGATCTTTCCTCAACTATGCTAACAGCTATGTGATATGTACTCTCCTCCACCCTCTACTGTACACTCGGTCGCTCTGGCCTCGCGCGCGCAAGTACTCTCTCTTTATGTTAGTTTGTTCTTTCTCTCTCTCTCTCTGTTTCTCTCTCTCTCTCTTTTTATTTATATGCACATGTCTTTGCCTCTCTCCCTGTCTCTCTCTCTCTCTCTCTCTTTCTTTCTTTCTTTCTCTCTCTCTCTCTATTTCTCTCTCTCTCTCTCTATATATATATAGATATATGTATGCTCCGTCTCTCTCTCTCTCTCTCGCTTCTCGACTCGCTCTTCTCTCTCCATTCCCGAACGTAGATGTATGTTATTTCGAATGTTTAATCCGATTGTTCCATTCGACCTGATTCGCATTCGCTGACATGTACCGCGTGCCCCGGATAATAAATCATACCCTCCTTCCCATCCTGGTTTTGGTTATCTCTGGCCAAGACAGAGTTGGTCGGCGGAGAGGTCGTCGTCGTCGTGGTACATCCCGCGTGCGACTTGCCGGGACAAATCGTCAGGTAATTCCTCGGGAACCCTGAACTGTATTATCCCAGGGGGATGATTCTCGGGGGTAGTCGGTCAATCTCTGCTCGCAACTCTGCTCTCCAGTGCCCGGAAACCCTGAAATTGGGAACCTTGGATCTTGGCCGTCCACCGAAATCGGCCTGAACCCGAGACTGGGGATTTGGAGAGCCTGGCCGCACATCCAATCGGCCAGGCATTTTCGCCAGGCCGTCTATAACTAGATCGGCCTGTTGTTTTCGCCAAATCCTTCGATTTCGGCTAGGACCTCTTCAGTGCAAGCACTGAGTGGCGAATCTGAAGCATCACTGTCGCATCATAGCAGAATACCAATGTGCTGCGACGTGCCTCAGAATCCCACCAGCCCTCTGGGCGTCGGTGGTTTAGGGCGTTTCCTCTTCCACCCCTACCTCATCCCCTTCGGGGAAGGGTTTACCCCTCCCCCTACCCCCTCCCCGTGGACCTGGACGGGGGGGCCGCGGGTAGTTAGAGCGTCTGCGAGGAAGCCAGCAGCATCATTGATTTTACTAGGATGTTGGCCCCATTTTAGCCTCCTGGGGGGGGGGGCGTAATTGAGGACCCCCCCTTCGTTGACCGATCTACTCCAAGATGGCCCCAAGAAGCGCCCAGGAGGCCCCAAGATGGCCCCAAGATGGCCCCAAGATGGCCCCAAGAGGCCCCCAAGAGGCCCCCAGGAGGCCCCCAAGAAGACCCTAAGCGGCCCCAAGAGGCCCCCCCCGAGGCACCCAAGACCCCGAAGAGCTCCTCAGGATCGCCAAGAGACCCCCAAGACGTCCCAAGAGGCCACCAAGAATCGCCCAAGAGATGCCCCAATAGGCTCCGAGAGGCATCCAAGAGACCGCTGGCCCTTGTGCTTGCCCTCCTCCTCCTCCTCCTCCTCCTCCTCCTCCTCCTCCTCCTCCTCCTGTTCCTCCTTCCTGCTCCTACTCCTTCTCTTCCTCCTCCTCCTCCTCCGCCTCCTCCTCATCCTATTCATCCTCTTTCTTCCCACTCCCTCATCCATCCATTCATCCATCCATCCATCCATCCATCCATCCATCCATCAACCTCCTCCTTCTCTCCTCACTCCTTTGCACGGTTCGGCCGTCCTCCTGGTTGCTGCCGCACTTACCTGATCACCTCAACTCGCCTGGACATCGTTTCTGGATGGGCTGGTGGGGATACTTTTTGGTAAGCGGCTCCAAGGCGACCGCCAGGGAGCGGGAGCGACGTCCGCGGCGGCGGAACGGTGCGAATTGCGAACACGGCCGCCAGTGTCGGCGAGCCAGCTCGCATAACTACAACAGAAGCAACTGCAGTAGGGCATGCAATGAAAGCAAACGCACGTGCAATAAGCAAAATGCTCTACATTCAGGAGCGGAGAGTCGCCCTGCTGGCGCCAGTCCGCGCGGCCGACCTAGCCCGGGCAGGTAGTACCAGGGTACCACAGCCGTAACGATGTCGGCACAGACGGGGCAGAAGAGGCAAGAACCTACAGAGTGTTCACTCCGCGTTCCACACCGTTGCCCATGGTGGGGCCGACCAGCCAGCAGCTCCGAAACCACTCCCGAGTCTGAACCACGATGATAGGACGCGCCTGCCCAAGCGTCAGTACTGCTGCCATCGGGTAACGGGTGAGGGGGCCAAGGTACGCTGCGCGAAGCGTCTAGAATTGCATACGTTCCGTACCGTGGCATCGTACAGGGAAACACCAGCCTAGGGTACAGCAGACTATTTCGCAGCAGGTCATATCATATTTGCGGTGTCCTGATGTTTGAAGACGCGATCCCCAAAAGCCCCGACCCTTTCCCAGAGACCAGCTTTTCATCCTGGACCGTCTTTTTAACAGTCCTGGGGTCCAGTGAGGGCCCCGAGAGGCCGAAAACAATGAAAATCCCTTCGTCGTGATTTTTGCCACGACGCGACCGTGTCTGAAGAAGCCTGGTGTCTCAGAGCACGACACGCCAGGGTACCGCATAACACTAACAGACGGGCAGCACATATTGATGTTCGGCGGGCAATTGGCGTCGATCGGCCATGAGGAAAACCGGTCTGACCTCGGCTCCGAGGGGCAGCTTTTACTTTCGGAGCACATGAGATGCCGTTAACGGGATCGCATCCGCTGTCCTTCATCCTCCCCCCTCCCCTTCGGCCTCTTTCCCCCTCATGAATCCTCCTGCCCAGCGGAGGATGAGACGCCAGGCTTCACTATGCTATTATCTGCGTTGTTGCATAGTGTTCTGCTGTCCCCCAGGCTGTGGCTTCCCTGTGCCATGCCATGGCATGGTACATCTGCAATGCTAGGGCACGCTGCGGTAAACTTGTATCGTGTTCTGCTGCTGTAGTGAAGAAGCTCCTTCCTCCTCCTCGTTTTGGATGTGATCCCCACGAGGTCCTCGCCCTCGTCGTCTTCGGGACCGGGGGTCGGCAGAAAGGAGGGGTGCGGAGCCCCCGCCCTCCCCCCCCCCCGACGGGGAGGAGGGGGCGGCGGCCGGGCGCGGAGAATGGAGGGGGGCGTGATGGAAGACGTTTATTTCTTCGCACCAGCAGCCAAGGGCTCGGCAGCGGTGCGCATGCTCGTGAGCAGTCGCTCTCGGTTGCCGCGCGTGGAGTCTCCAGAGCAGCGGCGCCCTCTGGGCCGACCCGAGGGGCACGGGAGTGCTTCCCCGCGAGGGCACTCGTCGGCACAGCGAGCGGCTCGGGTGGAGTCCGCGGAGGACGGGCAGAGCGAGGAGGCAGATCGGCGATGCAGATCTGGGAAGTTGGTGGGTTTTGTTCGTGACTCCAGGGACGCCCACGACGTGGCCACGGCTCCATACGCCTCGGAATGCTGGCTGGAGCGTGTCCCTGAAGAAGTCCCGAGGGTGAGGTGTGCTCGGACGACCGGGACCCAGGCTTGCATTGCAAGCGCCGCCAGCATATCACGACGGGCGTTGTTGGTTCAGCCTCCTGGCACTATGTTCATCAGTAAAAGCGCGCCGCGATGAAATGCTCCGAAAGTGGTCCAGAATTTCTCAGGCCCACTTATTGAAATCAGCACCAGGTCGGATGCGTTGGGAGAAGAGGACAAGGAAAAGGCAAGGATACATTGGAGGACGAGGAGGAGAAGAAGGACCCCTCCTCTTCCTCTTTGTGATTCAGATCCTCGCTGCGGCATGTCTGCTTTGTTGGCGCTGTGAAGAACAATTTTCACGGGAGGAGACGCAGGAGGAGGCATTAAAGTGTTCTCATGTGTTTACGATTCGAGGGCGAGTTTAGGGTTGTCTGGACAGGAGAGGTGAGTTGAGGGGAGGAAGGGGCGAGTGAGCGAGGTGAGAGGAGCGCATTGTCTCCAGGTCATTCCGGAGGAGGAGGAGGAGGAGGAGGAGGATTTTCTTGTTTTGAGCTCCACGCTCTCGCCTCCAAATCGGAGGAGGAGGAGGAGGAGGAGGAGGAGGAGGAGGAGGGCGGGGTGGTGGCTTAGTCGGGGCCGCGCGATCTGGCGTCGGCACCCCCAGCTCCGAGCGCGTCTGCGCGGAGCCCGGGGTCGGTTCTCCACTTCGCTGTTTTTCCGAGTCTCTGCAGGTGCCCCCCTGTCCTCCTCCTTCTCCTCCTCCTCCTCCTCCTCTTCCTGGTCCTCATCCTCCTCGTCCTCCTCCTCCTCCTCCTCCTCCTCCTCATCCTCCTCCTCCCCCTCGGAGGGTTCTGTGCTCATTTTCAGCCGTCGAAGGCCGTCACCGCGCACCGAAGCCCGACAGAGCGAATCAGGACGAGGAGCCAGCCCTGGGAGAGGGGTTCCGACCTCTGGGGAGCCACGCAGCAAAAAGAAACGCGCAGCCAGGTGTCCGGTGTGTCCTGCCCCCCCACCCAGATGATTGGGCACCACATGCTGTCGGTCACGGACTCGCCCCTCCACCCAGATACTTGGACACCAGATACTGGGCCACGGCCTCGCCCACTGGGTCTTGAGTAGGCCCGGACGCTGTGCGCAGCAGTGGTCGCATCGCATCGCGTGTTGTCGGCCACGATCGGTAGCGACCGATCGGCACTCCAGATCGGTCGCAGCCGCTCTCCTGTCCCCAGGGCGGCGTCGGAGGTCGGAGTCGCAGGGAGGCCGCAAGAGGCACAGGGGAGTTCAAACAGCGCGAGGCGGTCGTCGTCGTCGGCGTCGGCGTCGTCGTCGTCGGCGTCGTCGTCGGCGTCGTCGGCGGCGTCGGCGTCGGCGTCGGCGTCGGCGTCGGCGTCGGCGTCGTCGTCGGCGTTGGCGTTTGCGTCGTCGTCGGCGTCGTCGTGGTTTCGGCCAGGGCAGGATCGCAATGAACGAAGCGGGTCCTGAGGGAAGCGGGTCCTGAGGTTGTTCACCGTTTTCGAGCTCCTGGGGCTCTCCACGGGCCCCAGGGACTGTCAGGAGACGGTCCAGGAGGAAGAACTCGTCCCGGGGGAATGCCCTGGTGTCCAGAGCCCGTTTCACACAGGACCCGTTTTCTTCATGCTAAAAGTGGCACAGCGGAGTCCAAACGACTCGAGGTTGTCGTCGTGTTTCATGGTTTCGTCCAGGGTAGGAGCATAGAGGCATCCTGGGGATCTTGTCTTTGTCTTTCCAGATCTCAGAGCCCAATCATATCCTTGCGGCAGCCCGGAAGCCGGTGCCGAGGATAGGCATCTGCATGGGCCAGGACCTTCGTGTTCTCGAGAGCATATCCGACGTGATCGTGTCGGGCTCCGCGTACACGATAGCGCTCGCCTTTTTGGATGTGGTGACGGCAGCTTTCTCGTTGCACAGTGTCTCCTCGACTTCGGACGTGGATTATCTTTGGGAGTTCTACTTGGTGACATGTCTTGTCGTCGCATTGGGCACAACGGTACTTGGATGCCTCGACTACAGGGGCGCGAGGGAGGCCGCAAAGGAGCTCAAGCAGATCGAGGAGGCGGCCCAGCAAGGCGTCGTCGCTATTATGAAGAGGTCTGTTGTGAAGCACCATCTTAATGCAAACATGCGAAAGCTTGTATCGAAGACGTTGAGCATGTGCGGAGTTGCGGTTTCATTCGTTTTATTTCATGCGTGGCTCCTCGACTGGGACACCTTCGACCGAAACGACGGCGCCTCCAGCATTTCCAGCCCGTTCACTTTTTGGGGCGCCATGGTGTTTTTCCTTACATGCTTGTTCGCAGCTGTTGTAGGGAGCGTGCTGATAGAATATAACGTCAACCGGATGCGAAAGCATCTGACTAAATTCGATGCCATGCCTAGTGCGGTGTATGACGACTGGGTGATGGCGTCATTGGTGGTGCTTCTGCAGACTACATCAGCCTCGCTGCTTGAAGGGATGTCGTGGCTTGTGGGCACTGCTCTTCACTCCTGGTGTCTTGTTGGCTATACGAGTATTGTACGTGAAAATGATCAGGCGGACTTGCTCCATAAGTCAGCCGCGAGCTTGGTTTTCGCCATGGCCGTCACTATGGTTACGCCCTTGGCGATGTTGAGATTCGCTCCCCCTCCGTTGCAAGGCGGGTCGATGCAGCCTCATGCAAAGTAGCATCATATTTCGTTTCACACAGTTTCACCTGCTACCACTTAGAGTAGTCATGGTAGGACAGGACTGGAAGAGCTACATTGAACCTCGTGAGTCATCGGCCAGCCTACGTTTCACCAGCCGATGTACGGATCAGCGGCCCATCTTGTCTTGCAGAACAGGTAGTTGATTTTGCAGCGAAGCCTTCAAATGAAGGCGTGCGCAGCGGAGTTGTGCGGGGAAAGCAAGATGCGACCGTCGTAGAAGCACACAACCGCCACACCGACGTCACCCTTCTCACCAGCATGTTGTTGTGCAGGCAGCATCGGCATGACTTCCGTTCATTCACCAGGCTACGCCACACCTGCGAGCTGCGAGCCATACGTGCGAGGTTTCACATGCACGTCCATTATCCATCTCGCTTCATAGCGGGGGCTCCCACTTGTCCTCGTTTGGGATGATCTACTGAGAAATCACATTCCATTCGCTTCACGCGTGTAGTTACAGCCAAGCCGCATCATAATAGGGACGAGTACCTTCCGAAGAGCACCATGGTATCTTTGCCTTCCGTTCCATCGTAGTCCTTCGCCGTGGGCTCCCAACTTCGGCTTCAATTCGGACGTGCAAGGGCACTGCATCTTCCCAGACCTCGGCAGTGTGTTGATGGGGGAAATGGGAGTGCAGTCCTTCTCAGAAGGCGACAGGGCTTTTCAGAAGCCCTCCGCCCTTCTGAGAAGCCGTCTGTGTCTTCAGAGACGGCTTACTCCGAGCACCTCAAAAGTTATGTGCTCCCAGACTACAGGGGCACCCCCGACTACGAGGGCTCCTCTCCAAGACTACAGCGGCCCCCCCCAAACTACAGAGGGACCCCCCCGGACTACAGGGACCCTCCCTGGACTGCAAGGGCCCTCCGCCTGGACTGCAGGGACCGCCCACTGGACTACACGGGCCCACCCCCGGACTTCAGGCACCATCCCAGGCACAAGTGCTACAGTCGGGGCCCTGAAGAAGGAACCCTTTTCGTTGGGGAGGGGCTCCGTGTTCCTTAATTGTTTCGCAGCTTGCCTCAGGTGTTCCTTATTTTTTCGATCGGAAGTCGAAGGTTAACTTATGGAAAAAAGGGGCCTCCTTCCTTATTTTGGGTTCCTTAGGTCAAGGCCCCGACTGTACGAATAGCCAGTGATAGACAATCGGCGGGGGTTGGCGCCACTGCCTCGGAGGGAGGCCCCTCGTGCGGTGAGCGCGCGGGCGCGCGCACGCGCACGCGCTGCCGCGGAGTCGCCGCGCGCCCGTCAGGCGACATGGACTGCGCACTTGCTCGCGCATGGCGCGTGGTCTGCGTTGCGTGCGGCGTTGCGGCGGATGAGCGCTGCGCGGCTTGCGCGCGCGCGTTAGCGCACGCGCGCTGGCGCGCGTGCCAGTGTGTGGTCTTTGCGGGAAGCGGCTCCACGCGTGCCAGCGTTTGACCCGCGCGTCGTCGTCGTCGTCGTGGACGTCGTCGTCGTCGTCGTCGTCGTCGTCGTCGTCGTCGTCGTCGTCGTCGTCGTCATCTTCGTCGTCGTCGTCGTCGATGTTGTTGTCGTCGTCTGTGTCACGAAGATCAACGCATCTCACCCCGCCATTACAGGAACCCTCCCTACATGACCCTCCCCGAACTACAAGGCCCCCCCCCAGACCCCCGCCCGGACTACAGAACCCCCCCCCCCCCCTCAGACTACAGGACGCCCCCCTGGATTTTGAGCCACCCAAGAAAATATGGCGGTACTCAGAGCAGCAAGCCCCTCAGAAGGCCAGAGGCTCTCCGAGCCTCCTGCCATCCGCCGGCTCGCCGACTCCCTTGCGCGATCCGGTCGTGCCGCTGCCTTCTGTGCCAGCGCGCCGGCTCCGCTCGCCGCAAGACGCTGTGCGGAGGAGACGCGTCGAGTGCCGCGCGGGGAGGGGGAGCTCACCAGCCTCGAACCTACCCCTATCCCTAAGACTGACACGCTAAAAGGAGATGACAATCTTAGGGATACACCCTCAGAAACTGAGGACATCCCTAAGATCGCCATCGTGATGAGGCGATGCCCAACATAGGGATAGGGATTTGTTCCAGGCTGGTAAGGAGCCGTGCGTCAGGTGCAGGAAGAGGATCCGACAGCTTTCCGTCGCGGCGCCAGCTCGGCGCGCGGCGGCCCGGGGCAGGATATGCGCAGCGGCACGCTGGCACCAGGGAGGGCAGGAGGAGAGGAGGGCAGCTCGGGCGCCCGCGGAAGGGGGGGCGGGAAGCGCGCGGGTCCAGGCACAGGAAAGGGTGAGAACGTAAGCTGCCGCAGGTTCGCGCTGATCTCTTGGATCGGCGCTGGACCCCCCCCTCCCTGGCGCGCAGAGGCATGCCGGGGGCGGCGCCAGAGGCGCCGCCAGGGAGGCCCCAGCGCCGATCCGTGAGAGCCGCGCCGACCGCAGACAGTTACTGTTCGCATCATCGCCTGTTCCTCGAGTGGAGTCGAAGGCGGATCAGAAGCTGGCGGCCTCAGGTGATGGGCGGAGGAGACGGGGAGGACGTGTGGTTACCAGCCTCGAACGTATCCCTATCCCTAAGATTGACACGCCAAAAGGCGATGACAATCTTAGGGATTCGCCCTCAAAATATATGGAAATCCCTAAGATTGGCATCGTGATGAGGAGGTGCCCAGCATAGGGATAGGGATATGTTCCAGGCTGGTAAGGTGGCGCGTTCTGGAAAAGTCCCTCGCCCATGGGGGAGATGGGTGGCGGACGGCCGGCGGAAGCTGGCGGAAGCCAGACGGTCGGTGTTTCTTCCAGCGTTCTGCAGTGCGAGCTGTCGTCCGCCTCGCCGTCTCCATCGGCTTTCACATCGACTGCATATACGATGGCGCCGCGATTACGGGAGGCATTCAGCCAGCCCGTCACGAAGTCTCCCGAGCTTGACGCAGCAGGGGGTAGCGCGAACCAAAATGAAGCAAACTGGCAGTGGAAGTAGAATTCGGCTCTCTAGGACATGTGATACGTATTGAGGGGGTTCTGGAACGAGCCGTATCTCAGGGGTTGCGCATGGAGCAACAGGCAGGTAAATGACATCCAGATAGTGCCATCACATACAGGAACGCAATGGGGATGTAGGGGAGAACGAGGAGAGAGATTGCGGAGCAGGGGGAGGGTGACAGAGAGGGAGAGACAGAGGAGGAAAGAGAAAGAGAGAGAGAGAGTAGGGGGATGGATGGATGGCACTCTTACCGAAGCGATCCTTGTGGAAGGAGGAGAGGAGCACTGGAGCTCTGGGGGCCCGCGGGCAGCAGAAGTCACTCCGCCGAATAATAATAAGAAGAAGAATCATAAGGATCATGCTAAGAAGAAGCGTAATAATAAGAAGGCGAAGAAAAAGGAACAGCATTCAGCTCGCGGAGGTCCGCGTGGACCTCCGAGCATTTATGCTTACCCAGACACCCGACGTCGTGATTTTTGTTCGCAGCGAGGCTCCCCAGGGCCCAGGGGAGGAGGGCCGCCAGCTCCTCTTGGACATCGAGGGTCGAGGAGGAGGGAGGTTCGAGGAGCGATGAGGTTTGGGGCGCTGAAAGGTGGCGCCACTAGCCGAAAGGGGGGCTGCCCCAGGAAGAGAGGGAGAAACGCGGAGGGGTACGACACGGGAGGGGCCATGGGAGGGGGGCCTCCGCCTCATCCTCCCGGCAGCGCCAAGAGGCGCTACCACCAGGGGAGGTCACCAGCTCCTTCTGGAAATCAAGGTCCCATGCTTCGAGTTGTGGCGGACAGCCACTCCCCGGTGGCCCTGGCTGGCTTCAAACAGGCTCCCCGAGTGGTCCCAGCTGACCTCAATAGGCCCCCCGAGCAGTCCGGGGCGGTCTCGACACCCTGGCGCCGCCTTTGGCGGAGGCCGCTGGGCCGCCCCGCGCCCCAGGGATGGAGTGTTTGAGACCGCCCCGGACGATTCGGGGCCTGATCAGGGCAGCTAGGATCCGGGGCGCATGCGTTTCGTGGCCCCATGGGGAGCTCCACCGATGCCCCCAGTGGGACAGTCCGCTTGCGTCCCGGAAACCGAAGTTAGCATTTTCTTCATCCAGTACAACGCTTCGTGGCCCCATAGGGAGCTCCACCGAAGCCCCCAGTGCCCCGAAAACCTTATTTGGCACTTTCGCCCACCAGTACAGCGTTTCGTGGTCCCATAGGGAGCTCCACCGAAGCCCCCAGTAGGACCGTCCGCATGCGTCCCGGAAGCCAAATTTGGCATTTTCGCCCACCCAGTACAACGTTTCGTGACCCCATAGGGAGCTCCACCGAAGCTCCCAGCGCGACCGCCCGCATGCGTCCCCCACACGCCCAATTTGGCATTTTCGCTCACCCAGTACAGCGCTTCGTGGCCACATGGGGAGCTCCACCGACGCCCTCGGTGGGACCGCCCGCATGATTCCCACACACCCAATTTCGCATTTTCACCCACCCAGTACAGCGTTTCGTGGCCCCATAGAAAGCTCCACCGAAGCCCTCAGTGGGACCGCCCGCATGTGTCCCCCCCAACACACACAGACACACAGACACACAGACACACAGACACACACACACAGAGAAATATACACACACAGAAATATATATATATACACGCACACACACGCACACGCACACGCACACGCACACGCACACGCACACGCACACGCACACGCACACGCACACGCACACGCACGCGCACGCGCACGCGCACGCGCACGCGCACGCGCAGTCGCACACGCACACGCACACGCACACGCACACGCACACGCACACGCACACGCACACGCACACGCACACGCACACGCACACGCACACCTACACACACACCTACACACACACACACCTACACACACCTACACACACACACACCTACACACAATTTGGCATTTTCACCCACCCAGTACAGCGCATCGTGGCCCCGTAGGGAGCTCCACCGACGGCCCCATTGCTACCGCCCGCATGCGTTCCCTCCCACCCAGTACAGCGCTTCGTGGCCCCATAGGGAGCTTCACCGAAGAAGATATTCACAATTGCGGTACCCACAACTGCACATGGTTGGGTCCTTCGCCAGGCTAAATTTTTACGGTCCGAAGGCCCAGCAAGGGCCCCGAGTGGCCGAAAATACTGAAAAAGCTTCCGTCTCCATCATTTTCGAGACGCCAGATGTCTGACCCTATCTCGGGCAGGGCTGGGACGAGGATAAATCCGTTCCGGAGCGTTCTGGAACGTTCTCAAAGCGTTCCAGAACGCTCTGAGAGGGTCACGGCGCCCGGGACATCCTCCAGAGCCGCTGGGTCTCAGAGATTTTCGATTTTTCCGCACCCGAATTTGTCCTCGTCCTGGCTTCGTCGGCCTCTCGTCCGACCCAAGAGTCCGCGCTGCCATATTTCAGGTGCTCCTGTTCGACCCAACGAGTTCCTCAAGTTAAGGTTTAATGTGATTGAGTGGGATGTATTGGGTGCGGCACGGGATTTAGCAGGATCTCGTGGCACGTAGTGGGGTCGCACGTAGGG